AAGAACCACTATTGTAGAAAAAAAATCCATTTCGTTTCTATCATTTATATTTGCAGATTTCAATTCCAGGATATTTTATTCAGTAATGTATGAAAAGTATTTCTATGTGTGCCTGATTTAGTACACTGCTTTTGGAGTTGCTTCAGTTATTGTCAGTAATTCTGCTTTATTGTTTAGTGATACCTGAGTACAACAGAGGAAATGCATTGGTTTTTAAAGAAAAGAAAGAAAGAAGAATACATGTTTTGTGGAAAAAACTTTTATAACATATATATATGAGATGCCTACATATTTGATTTGCAGGTAGTTTATTGAGTCCATTTGTAGGGATTTTGACAAGTGAAAAATAATTTTTGTGGCAATGGGATGTTAAAAAATAAAGGAAACAGGAAAAGAATTTTGTTGGAATGTTGCAGTTCATCTCTGGGTCACTGGCATGGGAGTTTAGGTGCACATGATGTGTTAATTGAGAAGGGAAAAATTGCAGACAGGAGTTGATTTAGAACAGTAGGTGTTTGTATCAGGGAAGCAAACACAAATGTAAACCTTCAGTGTCATAATGGCCAAAATACAGATAAGGTTATCACTGGACAACAGTTGGGGTATTTCAACTTTTAGGGGATCAGTAGCTATTTTGCTGTATTCCCCAAATCACTTTAAGTTGATGATGTATAGAATAAGAATATTTTATATCCACAAGCAGACTTTTTTCTTTTGAGTTATATGAAGTAAGTTTTGAAGTACCGGTGGTAGGTTTATTGAACAACGGCATTTCAACTATTTTTTTTTCTACTTTTTAGAATACTATCCAATGAAAAGGTCAGATACAAAAATTAATGTAGCAGATATTTAAAAATGAAAATCCCAATTGCAAGCATCAAAAACTAAGCTGATCCTCTTACCACATTTGTTTGGTGTTCTTTAAAAATTTTTTTTCCTGACATGTGAACATCTTGAAAGCTCTTACTCTCAGAAACCAATTTGAATACAATGGTATTGTAAGCTGAAAATGTTTTTTTGTCTGAGTGCCTGAAACTTAGTGGTCTATGTGCTTTGGTGACTGGTTGTAACTGCAGTGTAAGCCAGATTGCTGCTACAAAGAATGCTTATGAGCTCCTTTAAAATTGCCATTCTCCAAGGGAAATGTCTGGACATAATAAAGACACAGAAATGAGGGTAGACTGACAGATGAAAGGTAGATGGGTAAGCAGGATGCCTGCCATTGCCTTTCTTCTCTCTGGATATTCTTTTGAATCAGGGCTGTTGCTACAACACATTAAGTTTTGTTATGAGTCAGTTCATACTAAATTAATTTCTTTCAATATGACTAGAGTAAGTTCCTGTCAGCTTGACATGACCATGTCAGAATCTTGTCTGGTAAAAATGGTCTTGCTATCCTATCCAATTTACTTAGGTGAAAAATCTCCTTGTAGGAGTTTTGCCCCAGATAGGATGGCAGAATATAGAAAAATTCAACAAATTTAAACAAAAGAGCTATGTTGTTTGACATGTAAGTGCTGCAAGAGCTTTCAAAATTCAGCTTTTCAGTGGTGATATATTTCTGTATCTTGGAAATATATATGGTTATATTTATAGCATTTATGCATTTATAATTTTTTTGGCACCAAAGTTTTTCCTCTGACAACAGTTTTTAATGTTTTTTTTTAGGAACGACCTAAATATCTACAAGTAAACTTACTGATGGCAAAGGAAGTTTCTAGAAATGACACCATGTACTATTTTGACTATGGTGAAAAAATATTTTTTATGTGTTTCAGCCAAAGCATTGATTTATGGATTGCTAATGTCAACATACTAGATTTTTGTTCATCAGGTAGAGAGTTTTGCATCCCCTCTGAGCTTTAAAGTCTTGTGGTTATGATTGTTGTCTCAGATGATACTTTCCTCAGAGTGGGGCTAAAATGTCTTTCCAATGAAAGTGACCTTGAATGAACAATTAATCAAAGTAGGCTTGGATATCAATCACTAATTACGACATAGAGAAGATATTTCAGTAGATTTTTAAATTTCATCACTCAAAGAAAGTCTGTTTTAAAGGATGAGACCGGTTTCATTATCCAAAGAAAATACTTCCACTCTTATTAGTCAGAAAAATGTATTTAAAGTTCTGCATATAAATTTACATAAAGTTTTACCCTGAGGTTCTTAGAGAGTCCCAAGACAAAAAGTTCTGCTTCAGCATAAGGATGTACTATGTAGACTTTCAAAAGGATGAATTTTAGTTTTAAAATTTTAATGCAACCAGCTGGATATTGAGACCTGAAGGCATTCATTCTGAGGATATTTTGTTATAATCCACCTGTAGGATAAAGGTGAAGACTTCTAATCCTTACTGATTCCTTGCTTTCCTCGTGCACACTTGGTTTATTTTTACAAAAGCTGTTAAAATATTAAGCTCAAAATATATTAAAACCAACTGGATCAAAGTTAGTTGTGGTCTATTAGATAAATCAGTATTCTCTCAGGTGCTGGACTGCAGTTCAATTCAAAACATTTTTCTGAGATTAAATTAATTTAATGGTCACATCTCACATATCTTGAAACAGTGGGATGTTCTGCTTGAGAAAGGCAGAAAATGGAACTAGCACGAATGATGGATCGTTTCTTACTTTTAGGTGGTCTTTTCAGACTTGAACTTATTTTGAGGGAGAGCTGATCCTACTTATGTTGTTCTTGGCTTCTGAGTTAAATGAAACAAAACAAACTTGTCTCAGGATTCTGTTTTTCCAGTCAAGTGTGAGCAGGATTTTGAGAAAGATGGTCCAAATATTACAGTTCTATGTATGTGAAGAATTTTTGTATTTCTATACTCCTTTAATTACAGAAATTCTCTATTAACCAATTAAGTAGATGTTCTTTTTGCAGTTATTGAGGGGAAAAAATGAAAAAATATTACTTTTTCCTTTTATTATCTTGCAGAACTGTAAATGAAAGAGTCATGGAAGTGCTGTATTTCAGGACTTTGTTCTGTAAACCTTAAAGGAATGAAAATCCTTTTTTGATTAATGGATCTGCTCTCATGAGTAATGACTGTTCCTCTAAATGTTGTTTGGGGGTTTTTTTTGCCATTATTATCTTATCTCTGTTATTATATTACAGGTCACCCCTTTTGGCAGTATGAATATAAAATTTACTAATTAAATTCTCTAAGAGGAAAAGAATTCTAGATTCTTGGATTTGTTTCTTAAGGTCTAAGCATTTTTATTCAGCTGCTTTAATGCTCCCTGCTTCCTTTTAATTGCAAGACACTATGGCCATAATCAGACATGGTCAATAGATACTGTTTCAGAATCTATTGTGAATAGATGTTCTTTTTGGTCATCCAGTGATTGCACCAGTTCGTGATAGATGGATTTCTATTTGGGCTTAAAGAATGATTGCTGTGTTCAAAGAAAATATTTCCACTGTTATTAGTCAGAATTAGTTTTTATTATTTATTTATTTATTTATTTATTTGTCCACACACTTCTGTTGAACTAACCAAAGCACCAAATTTGAAGTCAGTGCTGGCTTTCCTCTAATTCCATGGTAGCTGAGAGTACCTAATTTAGCAGAAAGCCCATCGACACAAACTTAATTAGTCAGCATTTTCTGACAAATCTTGAAACACTAGAGATGGCTTTTGGCAATGGATACTTTCTGTCATTTTTGGATTGGCACTAAAATGATCAAATCTATCTTTCTGTACTGTTGAGTCATTGTAGCTCCGTGATGAATTTATGCTGATCTACTGTCTCTTCATGCCTCCAACTCATGACATTGTATTTGTGACCATATATTGGACCAAAATCAGGAACTGATCCGGTTAAACTTAGAAAAACAAAACAAAAGCAGTTTTGATTTGCATCACTTTCCCAGTCAGGTTTCTTGTGTTAATGCATTTCTGCCAGGGTAAAAGAAGGCTACTGATAGAAGAAGCAAGCAGTCAAATGTACTGAATGGGGAAGGAGTACTTGTTTCTTGTTTCTTGTTTTCTTTCATCTGGTCAGTGCCAGCTATTTGCAGACATAAAGTGTTTGCAAAATTGGTATCATAGAGTTGCACTGAATCCCAAGCAGTGTCACTGGATATGAATAAGAAAAATGGGTGAAACAATTTGTATGGAATCACAGAATCATCGAGGTTGCAAGTGAGATTCAAGACCAGAGCGTCCAACTATTAACCCAGCACAACCAGAATGAGCCCTAAGCCATATCCACCAGGTGCCACATCCAGATGCCTCTGGAACTTTTCCAGAGACAGTGACGCCACCACCTCCCTGAACAAATTATTCCAATGCCTAAACACTCTTCCAGTGAATTTTCTTTTCTAATATCCAATGTGAACCTCCTCTGACACAAAGCCATTCCTCTTGTCCTTTTGTTTGGGACATGGCAGAAGAAACTGACCCACACCTCACTCCAACCTCCTTTCAGGGAGGTAGAGAGCAGTGAAGTCCTTCCAAACCTCCTTTTCTCCAGGCTAAACAATCCCAGTTCCCTCAGTCTCTTCTCACATGACATGTTTTCCAGACCCTTCAGCAGCTCCATTGCCCTTCTCTGGACATGCTCAAGCACCTCAATGTCCTTTCTGGAAGTGAGAGGCCCAAAACTGAACACAGTACTCAAGGTGCAGCCTCACCAGTACTTAGTACACTGGGACAATCCCTTCTCTGTGATTCCATCCTATTATCAGTTCATGATTGCCAATTGTCTCAGAGATTCTCATGGAATAATGATAAAAACAATTCACTTCTGGACCAAAATTAATTAGCTTCTGGATCAAAAATGAATTTAATTTATAACTTGTATTTTAATATTTTAAATGAAAAATTTTTGTAACTGTAATGCAGTGAAATGGTTCAGAAAAAATATTGCATTTCTGTCTTTTTATGCAGTTCTCCAGGTGAATATCTTCTCTTTAGCTTTTCCTTCATTTCCCTACTTCTTCTTGGTCTGATACAGTATTTTCAGGTTTATTAAAACATTACATTTTTTAAGGTTATCACCAAACTTGGGCCTCTGGAATGGATACTTAATACTCCCAGTCATCATAGAGTTCATCATGGTAAGATAAAAGTGGAACCTCTTACTCCTTTTTTTTCCTCAGGGTCACTATTTGTATAGTAATATAGTAAAATTGTACTGTAAAATCAGTTTTACAGAAAGATTTTAAATTTCACCTCTACTTCTGAAGTGGTCCCTGTTCAGTTAGAAATTTCACAGCTTTTAAAATAATATAATCAGAACTAACATTTGATTTAAACATTTTTATGTTTAACTATTGATCAGAAATAAAGTCTGGATAACATGAAATAATTTGAAGACTTTAAGAAAAAAGAAATCAATACTTCTAAGCATGAAGAGTGATAGAAAAATATCTCATCCTTCCCTGACTACTGAATTATCAACAAACACACTTTTGCACTCAAATTCAAGTTCTGTATATGTCAAAAACATGGCTAGGTTTTAGAAGAACTTTTAAATATTCTAGTGGAATTTGATTTCACCTGTTTGAATTATTGGTAAATCTCACTTCACAGAAGTGCATGATGGTTGATTTTTATGAGTATTCAGAGGCCTTCAAGACTGTACTGCATGTGTAAATTTTACTAATAACTCCACTGTGTAAAATATCATGAACATATCTGAGACACAGAAGTGGATTTCACAGATGTCCTTAGCTCATTCAGTGTGCAGAGATAGTAAGTTTAAAAAAAATTGGAGGATCCACAGTGGTGGTGCTCTGTGTCTAGTTCTTAAAATTTGCACAACTACTGATAATCCTCAGGGAGACACTCTGCTCTTATTTGCTCCGCTGTAAATCTGAACTAATGTTCTCATCCTGATTTGAATTAAGCAAAATCTTTATAGAACTGATCAGGGGCTGTACAGTTGCTCCAGACTATCTCCACAAACTTAGGGATGTATAACCAATATTTCTTCACTCATAACTTTGAGAGGACTGCTTATAAATACATTCCCTAGAAAACATAGAAGGATCAGTTTTCCTCACACTGAAATTATTAGTGCAGGATCAGACATAGGACATAGAGGATAGAGACACCTGACAGATATTAATGAGATAACTACACATATATGTATTTAACATATATTTTCTTAGGTATAAACTGATGGAATAATTTTTGCTTGCTTTTTAGTTTGTCTTCTATGAATATATTTTGACCTGGTTTTAGTCTCAGAATTTCACAGAAATTTTGGGCACAACACATTGGATTTGTAATCTGAACAGAAAGAGAGCAATAAGACTATTAAAGAAAAAAAAAATATATATAAGTATGAGGAGTGGTGGGCTAGCTATCTTTTAAAGTTATTTTTAGATTATAAGGTGATTCAAATGATGATTCTTTCTTCATAATTCAGTTCCTAGTTGTCTTATTTATCCTATTACTTGTCTCATAATTGATTTTTATTATAGGTAGAAATCCTTACTGCATTGACAAAAATTATGGTGGCACGCTCATTATCTGGGACAGGATATTTGGTGAGTAAAATAAGGTGTTCTCTGTCATGTCAAATCAATGTGGAAAAATATGTATAGTTTTGAATTTGATTGTTTGTTATTCTTTTGTTTTCTTCTTCCATCAGGAACATTTGAGGCTGAAGATGCAAAAGTTGTATATGGCTTAACACATCCAGTAAATTCATTTGATCCCATCATGGTCCAGGTGCTGCAGTTTTCATCATTGATTCTGATGTCTTCAGCATTCAGTCATATTCAAAAGAAACTCCTCTCTTAGGCACAGTTGAGGCTATCTTTGCATTGCTGACCAGTCAATTACATTATCTACAATTTCTTCAGTATTCCATTTTGTGACAGCCATTCCTAATCCCTGCATTGAGTATATGCCGAGCTTGAAGTAATCATGAACATATATAACAGTAAAATTAACAAATTATTAAAACAGTGATATATAAGTTGTTGGATTGAATGAGATGTTTTAAGTGCAATAATATATAGAGAAGCACAGACAAAAGCATATAATAAAAGAAAAGAAAACTAATTAGTGAGGTGCTTCTCAGATTTATTGGTTCAGGTTTCACTGAAGCTAGGTAAAAATTCTCTGCAAAAACATGAGAAGCAGTGAAGTCCATATTTACTTTTCATGACTGTTCATCCAAGGAGGAATCTCAAAGAAAGACAAATTTTACTGTCAGGGCTGGAAAGTAGGAGGATGTGCAATTATATCCATTTCAGTCAGATACTAAGTAATTTCATTACTGAGAGTGTGTCATTTCAAGGTCCCAGTAGCCGAATCATACTGCATAAATATAGCTATACAGTATACCACTAAATACTCAGGAGTGATTACAGGAGACACAGATGGAAAAACAGATTTTCCTCTGAGCAGAAGTCATTGTAATCCTCACCAAATTAGCCAAGGGCTTCTTATTGCTTTTGCCTGTTTCAGCCAGGTTAACTGTCTTCATCTATTTCTAATTTATTCTCTTTACAGAGTTTGAAAAATAATTTATTTGAAAACTAAAAATTAATAAAATACAATGTTTTATTAATCTTTATTTTGTGAACAATGAAAAATAGCTTACTTTTTTTTTTCAGTTACGTCCCTTGGCTCATATTTGGAACACGTTTTGGGCCACACCTGGATTCTGCAATAAGCTTTCTGTCATATTCAAAGGGCCAGGCTGGGGACCAGGCAAACCTAGACTTGGCCTTCCTGAGGAAATCCCAGTGGTAAATAGAACATGCACAGGCTTTCAGTTGTGTGTAATTTACTTGGGCCTCTTAATGCTACTGGATCAATGTTAAAAACTCTACACATGCTATTTTAAATTAGCAAATTAGCAGTCATAAAGCATGGGGGAAGATGAATTGGGAAAAGAAACTGAAGGAAATGAATGTTTTAACTGTGGTGTTTTTTTCTTTTTATTTGATGGAAAATGTGTGTTTTTAAAGTTATTTTTTCATTATTCATTTCCTGAAGAGATTTTCAAAATTTTTCAATGGAGTATAGTAGTTTCTCTTTTTTCAGCTGTGGGCATGCACAAACACACAAAGTTAAACTGTCTCAAACAAGGTAGTACATAAGTTTGACAATAGATTGTCTTTCTTCAATTAGCTATCACACCTTTTGTGTTTTTAAGTGTAAAGAATATTAAGGAGCAACAGGCCAGAGCAGGTCACTCTTGAAGGCAAATAACTGTTTTGCTTTATACAGATCACTGGAAAAGAAGTTCCCTTCAATCCACATGTACCAGCTTATCTTAATTGCTATGCACTTGTACATTTTGCTGTAATAGTGGACTTGTACGTCGAACTTCTTGCTTCTATGACTGTAAGTAATTCCTTCCTTTATGAAATAACATCTTCTGCTAACAGCAATGACACACAACATGTTTAAATATTAAAGGACTGTGCAGTGGCTCTATAGCCAGCTCCTATCTTATTTGAGCTACTAAAATAATAACTAGATTCTGTAAAAGAATTAGCATAAATGGCTATATATGTAATTCCATGCTATTAAATATACATTTTATATTATTTAGTAAACAGTTTTTAATAACCATGTCAGTTATTTACTTAATATAATTTGCCTAGAAGACGTATGTGTCTGTTTCAGTTTTTAGTACCCCATGAGGCTTGAAACTACGGAGTTTTAAAATGTTAAGGTTGGTCATACCATTAGATGCCCAGGCTTTAGAAGGAAGTTTGCAATGGTCTTGCAGTGCTTGCAGATGGCTAGGTTGGTGTCAGCATGAGTTCAGAGTTGGAGTAGCACAAAGTTAGGGCAAATTTTTCTTCCAATCTCCAACACACAACAGCATTGATAGAAGCACAGCAAGAAGAGGCATGTATTTATCACCAGTGACTTGCATGGTGGAATCTCCATGGTGACTGGTTCCTCTATGGATACCTGGCAGCCTGTGAAGGTGAACTATAAGGCCATGTCCACCTAAAAGAAATGAGATATTAACTGCTTGCGAGGTTTCACATCCTTCCAAGCTCCTTTTTTTTTCTTTCTGTCATTATAACTCTCCCTCGTGTACTAAAGCTAAAATTTCATAGTTATGAAGCAGAATTTAATAGATATAATATTCCCACAAATAAGTCAAATACCTCTCAAGATGTACAAAAACACCACAAAATTCTTATTAGTTTGATAAAATGCCCTTTGTCCTCTTTTTAAACCCATTCTAAGACCCCCTTAGTTAAAGAGCAGTGTTCTTGCTGTGTTTGTGTCACCCACATCGCCACAGACAGGCTGTAAACACCCAAAGGACTCCCTGGGTTCTTCAGCCTTGTCATGGCATGCTCACCTTGGCCAGCAGTAGTCACTTTCCCCTGCCCACCTCATTGGACACTGTTGTACGTAGCATTCCTGGTATAATACAAAAGCTACCTCAGGCATGTTCTTTGGATAAGTATGGAGTTATTCTATGTACCAGGTTTACTTCTGCAAAGGGTCACACTGCAATTGCAGGGAATTAGGAGATTACTAAATCATCTGAGGCTTAGTCTCTTATAAGGACAGGAAATTAAGCCAAAGGTATGAATAAATACCTCCAAAATACATAAGTCAAACAGTATACATGATTGCCAATGTTCCTATATTGAGAAAAACCTCTGCAAGATTTTCCAGAATACTTCTAGATCCCTACATTTGCATAGAAATCAAACTCCGTGTTTGAGCTTTTCCATTTGTTTAATTTTGCTGTTGGGTTGGTGGGTTTTGTTTTGTTCTGTTTTGTTTTGTTTTGTTTTTTACTCCATCCTGTTGCTTTTAGCAGCCAGAATTAAGGAGTTCTTTTTTTTTTATTTATTTTATTTTTTCTTCTTTTTACCTTTTTCTGGTCCTGGAAGGAAAAGTTATTTTATTTTATATTATTTATTTTATATTATTTTATCTGCCTGTAACTGCAGCTGTTTAAGAATAAGTAATAAAAAAGTTGAAAAATGCACCCAAGCCCCACATAATCACTAAATTCTTTCAGTCATAGAGGAAGCATCCTGAAGATCCTCCATTTATGAACTTATTGTAGAAAAGCAACTAGAAAATTCTCTGCACAAAACTGCAGGGTAATAAGGTAGTAAGGACAAGAAGGAGAGCCCAGGGGCCTGGAAGCACCTCATCTCAGGACATAAACCTTCAGCGTGGGTGTAGAAAGTGCTGGTCCCAAGGCAGAGTTCCAGCATCGTTCTGCAGTACAGTGGGGAAGCTGTCATGAGAAGGAAGCTTGTGTATGAATAACTTTACTTGGCAAAAACCTTTCTTCAATATCAGTTTTCCACTACACTGAGTTATGAAATGTCTATGGATACAACTGGAACGTTCTGTCTGGCTATGAATTATGTCATAACTGTGGCATAGCTCCATAAATGGAGAAAACTAACTGTTTTCCTCATCTTTAGGTATAAGTTCCATTTCATAGCAGCCATAAGACACAGCACACAGCTATTACATTTCTCAAGTGATTACAGTTGCTCAGTGTTTGGTCTCACGCCCTGTAGAAGTGTTAAATTTCTCTATCCATAAAGAGCAACCATATACCTTCTGTCTGAATGACCTACATTTAACTTATGAAAAGAGCAAAACAGGAAAGAACAAATATATATTTTCCACAGGAGAGAGCATACAGTGTTTGTTTTCTGTATAGTGATCTGCACTACATCCAGTGAATAAAAATTGCTTTCTGAGCTCTGCACATCTAGATCTGATCCAAAGCTCCTTGAAGAAATGGGATTTGGATCAGTCCCAGAGAGAGTGCTAGGAGGGTAAAACTGCAGTACATTCAAAGCAAAAGTCTCATAGCTCCAGAACTTCAGGTATCATATAAATCAAAGTGAAGGGCACCTTAAACACGTTTTGCAGTCTTTTTTTTTATTGTTAATAGATACTATAACATTTACTGTGCTTATAATTATATAAATATGTGAGCAGTTTCAATTGGATGGAAATTAGTAAGATAGATCTCTTGAAAGTTAAGAAGACAATTAATTTATCCATTCAGCACGGCATCACCAATTACAGTGTATGTAGTATTGCTAAGAATTAACTTTTTTTCCCTATGAATTTTAAGTTAAAATAAATTCATACAGCTAAAGACACCTAACAATATAAAATTCATAGCGTCATATTAGCATTCCTGATTTGAATGTATCTGATCATCTGATGTGTGAGAGCAGAGCAACTGTTAACTTATGTAATGTGCTGACATCATTCCTAGAAGCTCTTTTGTACCACTGAACAAATTGGAATAGAAAGTGCATCCATGTTATTCTTCCAAAGGAATAAAAAAAATGGTTCTTTGCAGCATAAAAAGTGAATTTTGAATATTTCAATGCTTATCTAAATACAGATTTGAAATAACATTTCCTTTGTTTAAATGAATTGTTTTTTCCATTACTAAAAACCCATAAAATAATAATGCTATGGCATTCTTTTGAATACAAAGCAGTGTAAACCTCTTACTAAGTTCTATAATCCCTGCCCGCGCCCCCCCCCCCGCCCCCCATTTTTTAAGGCTCAAAGATATTTTTAAAACTTTAAATGAAATTAAAATCCAACAGAAATATTTTTTTCTGCTTAGTTGCAGCCAATAACCACATTGCAAAGTTGTGGCTGACTTGTAATTGGGGAACCTGCTGTGGTTCCACATGCTTCTCTGTTTATACAAATACTCCAGTATATAAATACTCATTTATTTTATATATACATCCATGCATACTAGGTTTAGGTGGAACAAGGATGCTAACACTAATGAAGGTGTAAAAGGCACATACTTTTTGCAGTGCTGCTTGCAGTGCATAGATTTAATATATGATGTTAGTTTAGTGATATAACCCACTGACTATTTTGTTGATTTTGGTAGAGTAATGCCTAGAAAATGGATGCCTCAGCTGCCAGCATCCACTTCATAGGGTGATACATGTTTGAAAGCAAATAAAAGAATCAAGGCAGCATATTACTATACCACTGGAACTGTAAGAGAAAGTTAGGGAAATAAACTAACTGTGGTAAAAGTTACGCTATGTGGCTGGTTTTCTAAAAGATGTTATTCCCGGTAGCATCATGGTGTATTTCACTGAAAATTTCTTGGTAGTCCTTGACTAGCAGTACAAATGAGGAAATTATTTTGTTGTATGTGAATGTTGTGCATGTACCTACTGTGAAGGGTAACTTGCACCTTCTACCTCCATGATTCCCAGTAAGGCTTTCTGCCTCAGCCTTCACCACTCCGAAATTTTGGGAAGTAGAAAGCTGCCACACTCAGGCATTACAGTGCCATGCTTTTGCGTGAATCTGATGATAGTGCCAATTTGAAGTTAACCAGGATCTGCAGGTTGTGCTTTAGAGTCCTCCAGACCTTCACGTTCTGGACCATACTCACCATGAGGAGTTTTACAAATAGCTAGTGTTCAAAACAGTTTAGTTCAAGTAGGAGTGTGTCTGAAGAGAAATGGAAATTGGCCTCAAAAAAACAAGTCTGTAAAATATGATCACACCTGGTTCAGGTAGTTATTGTGCCAAAGAACCTCATATAGCATTTTAACCATTTAAAGATAAAGGCTTATTTATATTTGAGTTTGATTTTAAAAAAATTATAAGGTTGCTTCAGTCCTTCTGATTTACGATCAGACATTGAAATGTATTTCTATTCCCATTTTTTTCCTGGAACTCCATGTTTAAAACGGATCTGAAATTTATTAATTTCCTGTCAAGTTCTTAGTCTGTGCCTTATTCTTCTGTGTTAGATAAACGTAGGGGATATTTTTTTCTCCTGTTCTAGTAACATAAATTAAAATATATCTTTAAACTAAGAAAAAAGTCCTTGATAGAAGTTATGGGTAAAACCACCACTAAAATATGACACAAAATTCTTCCCCTGCTTTTGGGAAGCATTGCCATCATCACTCAAATCCAACTCTTAATGCAGTACCAATATAGACTTAATGCAGTAGTCTTTAGGCTTGCAGTCTAGCTAATGGCAAGAAATGGAATTCCCAAAGTGCTTAACTTATTCCCACATTCCCAGTATACTCTCTCCACAAGTTTCAGCAAAAGCTTAAGTTAATGAAAGGTTTTGGGGCACTTCAGTGTACTTAAAGGCAGGTAGAATAAATCAGCGTTATCTTATCTGCTGCTATCAGTTTTTTGCAGCTGTAGTGACAAGGAAACCCCGATGCCTGGGACAAGCTAGACAGCTTGGGATCACTGGAAAGCCAGAAAAGTTTGAAATCATGCAGCTCTTTAAAACTGGAAACTAGGGACACCCTTGCTCATTCATAGCATGTACTACTGAATCCTTCCTGAAGGCAGGAATTAGCACTTGTATGAAAACCATTGCAGTTGCATTCATTTTCCACAAAGTGTGATTTTAGCCATATCTTGTAATGTAGCTACTCCGTGATTTGATGGAAATCTGGATTTGATGTTTAGTTCTTTTTCCTGCCTAAAATGATACAAAACCTTGCTTCTCAGAATAGGGCTCTACCACTGTGGGAGCATTTTCCAGGCAGTCTGCAGGACCTGGTACATCACAGTGGAAACAAAGAAAAATCAGACTGACCTGGCAAGAATGAGTAGATTTTTTAAAAAGGTGCAATTTTCAACTTAAAAGTGAGGACAGTCTTTAAGGAAAGCATTTCTAAGAAATTTATGGGTGAGTTCTCTTATACCTGTGCCAAATCATATTTTTCTTTGCTCACTTCTTGAATTTTTGTATGACCCAGATTGTACAGGAAGCTGAAGTGGAAGTTGAACTCAGTATGGCTAGATGAGCAGTTAAAGTACTCCTCATTTAATTAAATTCAAATAGAGTCTGCATCTGATTTTTATAAAAAAGCTCTGTCCAAACATTTTGTCACTTCAAAACAAAATTATCCTATTGCAAACAATGAAAAGTTTATCCTAAGGAGAAATGGAACAGATTGGTAATGTGGAAATGCAGTAATAAGTTTGATTCTCACCTGGTACAAATCTGTGCAACAGAGTGGCTTGACAGGTGTCATTTGTGAGAACTGTGTTCTGGGTTGTAAACTGGTGAGGCTGCTGCTTAGCTTGCTCATTGCTGGGATTGAGTTTTCTTTGTTCAATAACTGTTGAGGATATCTAAGTAGGTGTTTGTGATGCTTCAGTAAAACAACAGAAACCCGCCCAGACTGAGTGTGTGGTTTGATGTGTTTTGCAAACATGGGCACTCTAAGTTCACACAGCTGTAAAACTTGAGAGTATCCTCCTGTGGCCTCCCATGCTCACAGATGCTTACCTTAGATCTCTTTGAGGGGTTGGGGCCATGACCGAAGGAAGTTGGTCATGTCACTGGATGGGATTTATGGAAATCAGGGCAGACGTTTGTGGAGTTCTATTTTTCCAATGCCTGGAAATGAAGCGCAAGATGCTGTTCATAAACTCTTTTGCTGCTGAAGCAAGAAAGGATTTCTATAACTCAGTCAGATCAAATACTTTTGTTTTGTTTTAATAAAAAAAAGCAAACCCAAAAGCTTTTCAAAACTAATATTTGGAACAAAATCAGGGAGGGAAAAAAGGAAACCGATTAAATATTTGATTTTCAAAGGCAGCTGTATAGAATACAAAATAAATATTTTTTTAAAAAATTAAAAATTCAAACTTTACAATCAAAATAATTTCTGTTTTTCTGAATTTTGTTTATGTCATTTTGATGTAAATTTTAAGGACAGAGGTCCTCATGCTGTGATTCATCTAAATACTCATACACATGTTAATGTTTAAAAGTGTTTTAAATCTGATTGAAATTAATGATATGAGCTGAAAAGTTTTGCTGACTTGGGAACCAAGTGTTGAGTTGTCATGAAGGGAAAACATTAATTTTGTTTCATCTTAAATATAATCATGTCATGTGAGTTGTTATTCTTACCAGTACATTGGCGTTTGTATGCAGTGGGATTCAAAGATGGCTATTGTAAAGATCTGGTAACATAATATGAAATTTAAAGAACAGGGCTGCTAGGATTTTTATCTAGAAGTAAATTTCTTCCCTCTTGAGTAGAGTCAAAAGGAAATCAAATAACTTTGGGAAAAAACCACATGGGACAAAAGAGGATAACATTAAACATTAATACAGTATTCAGGAACCAACTGTGAAGGTGGTTACTCCAAGTATGAGTGCTATCCACAGCAGATTTTTTTTCCTCTAAAATTTAAAATAGCAAATTACTTTAGAAGAGGACATTTGCTTCACTCAGTGAGTAAGTTCAAGCTACTGTTCCATAAAAACTCCATTTCTCTCCAGAAAATTACTCTAAATGAATTTTTTGTCTTCCTTTTAACAGATATTATCACAGGGAACAGTTCTCATGAGAATTGGCTTTATCATTCTGTCCCTGGTATCTTTTGGACTACTTATGGAGAACAAGTAAGATATAAAATATGTGGGTTTTTTTATTCTTTCATTATGGGTTATTTATAACTATATATAAATCTCAGAAATTATATAGATAAAGAGATAAAATCACCCAGACCTACACATGGCTGTCTGTTGACTAGAAAATAACACATGACTAGCCAGCACCTAAATCCAGGATTGTTCCCATAGCAAGTGACTACATCTGTATTGTCCCTTGCAGAAGAGTTTTGGGATGGGCTCTTCATGTCTTCCTCTGTGCTTGCATTTACTGGGTCCATGAGTTTGGGACAGTGTGAGGTGGACCTGTTCAAGGTCAGGTTGTGTGAGCCCTGTGTAGCATGCCACAGGTGCCAGATACAGGATGGTATATGAAGAGCACACAGTGTAGCTCAGAGTTGGCTCAAAATCATGTGAAAGATAATGTAGACTTGAGACTAAACTTAAGCAGTATAGCTTCAAATGAAATTGGATCTTGAATACACCAGGCCAATGAGATACATTATGAAGTAGTCCATATGGGCACTGTGGCCCTAAAGAAGAGTAAGTAGCATTCACACTTTGTTACAAAGAAGTTATTTGCCCTAACAGAGAAGAAATGTGGAATAAAAGTTTCCTTTGAGACTGAGGTGCCAGTACTGCTTTGCACCTGCTGTTCATTATGTTTTCAGAAAGGAATACCTTTCACTTTTAAGGACTGAATAGTTTAATTCAGGACAGGTAAAAAATATGTCAACATGCCAGACGTGTGAATAACCTAGGGAGTTAATAAAGAGGCATTAGTAAAAAGTGACATAAGTATATCATTGAAAAGATTCTGAACTACTTATGTAGCAGTTCTCAGAATTTTGTTGTGGTAATTTTTGAGATTAAAGGACAGTAACTAAAGATACAGTTCCATTCATGTTAGTTCAAATATATTTTGCAAGTATGGGTATTCTCACCACCAGCTAATTCATGGTTGTAAGTCAATGTAAGGTGTATACCATAAAAACTTGAAAAGTTTATATATACCATATATACTTGAAAAACTTGAAGTTTAAGAAGGATGACTAGATGTAAGTGGAGGACTTTACAAACTACTTCTATTTTCTCTTTTTCATTGAAGTTAGCAAAGAGGAAAAGATTGGATATTAATCTGAATTGATTCCCTTTTCTAGGTCCAAAGCAGGAATTTTGGAATTCATACGCTGTTTAGTCTTCATAGGTGTTTACAAATTTGGCTACTTTAGGAGTCATTTTTCCTTCTTGGGCTATGCATATGAGGTAAGATATTTATTTTAAAATGTCTGTGCTGATTATTCTAGATTTTTTATCTTTTTACAAAAAAGAAACACTAAACATTTACATTTTGTTATATTATTTTTCATTAAGCTATGTGAATAGTATTATTTTTTTCTTATCTCATTTTTTTCACTTTTTATGATTATTTTGTAAGAAAATTATTCTAGTTCACTACTGAGATGCCAGTTATCCTTGGAAAAAAGGTCATGAACATTTACCACTTCTTGCAAAAATAATTTACTTGTGTCCACATGTTTTGAAGTGGATAATAGTAATGCATTGCTGAATTTAGATTGTTTAATACTCCTTTTATCGGAGAAATATGAAAATTCTTGGAGGCTGGAAGACTTAAATATAAAGTATATTGTTCTGCATTAATCCTGTGCCTCAGAAACAGACTTTTAGCCATTGACAAAGTGTGGATACAGGACTAAATAGATCTATGTCTGGTACATGTGGTAACTTTGTGTTCTGAGCATTTACTTTTATCCTGTTTGTGCCTTTTGCTTTTTATTATTTTCCTTTCCAGTAGAGTTGGTATTTCATATCTCTTTTTAATATTATCACAATGAAATAACAATAGTCACTGTTAGTATTCCTATCTGAACAACATTACCAAGCCACTTGTTGTTGGTTACCAGACAATAATGGTTATTCATAACCAACAAGGTTATGAATGGGTGGCTAGATTAGTAGAACCTCATCAGAAAGTTACTCTTTGGCTTAAAGTCAGAAAAAAATCAAATAAAACAGTAGGAACTGTTTGTTCAAAATGGTTCCTTTGACTTCAAACATATGCAAAATTTATAGTGTCTTTCCCAGTTGGAAGTGGTCTCGCTTCTCCTGCTTTTGTAAAGGAAATTGAATTAGAAAAATGAAACAAAAAAAGCTACTGCTGCTGTGGGTCTGGGAGGTTTTTCTGGGGTTTTTTTTTGGTTTGGTTTTTTTTCAGTCTGGGTTGGAAAACAATAGCTATTGGACAATATTTAAAGCTAGATAAATGCCACTAACTGAGAATTGTATCATTTCCCCCCTGCCCCCTTGTTACATTGTCAAAGCTTTGGTGTATATATCAAATTGTTCTTGAATTCCTTTGATAAGAGTCTGCAAGAATTTAGCAGGTATTTTAAGATGTTTACTTAAATATAATTTGGAAATTGTTTGTAAAATTTCCTTAGTAGTCTAATACAGTAGAAATTCTAAAATTTTGGAACAATTTACCTTGCCCTTGAGACATAGTTTTCTGACTTGAATTATTTGGATATTCTAACTGAAGTCTGTGAGAATTGTGTCATTATATACATCTCAATACCTGCCCTGCTGAGTTTTTAATTCATATATAAAAGTGTCTCTTATTAAGAAATGAGTAGAAGAAAAATATTAAATTATTATTCCTATTGTTTATAGGGAATTGTATAGCTTCTTTCTCCTTCATGAAGAAGAAACTAAAATGAAGTGGTTCTTTCTCTGTTCTTTACATGTTTCTGTCACTAAAAGTAATTATTGTCATCTGGAGTTCTTCTCTACTATACTTTACCTATAGTTTCTTCCTTTTGTTTATTTTTTTACCCTTCATATTACAGTTCTTTGTTGTTCTTTTTTTAGTCCTTTGACACTGACTATTTAGTCCATTTTTTAGAAGAGACAGAACTACTTGCACACAATTTTCCTTTGAAAATACTGGAAAAATAGGTGTCTCTCAAATAATTTGCTCTTGGGAAGACCAGAATAGATAATGTTTCTGAGTGATGCCAGTATTTCTACCCTTGACATTTTATCACAAATCAACAATTTCATTACATTAATACCTTTTGTGATTATAGAATAATAGAATAGTTTGGGTGTGAAGTATAATGATCCTGTAGTCCAATCCCCTGCAATTAGCAGAGACATCTTCAATTACATCAGGTTGCTCTGAGCCCATATCAACTTGATCCTGAAAATTTCCAAGGATGAGGCACCTACCACCTCATTGGACAATTTTTTCTAGTGCTTCACCATCTTCACAATAAAAAAATGTTTTCCTTTTTGTAGTCTGAATATTTGTAATGAACTTCAAAATGTCCCCCATTTTAAAATGAATGACCCACTTTTAAAATAAATGATACACTTTTGCTCCCAATGTATCATATGCATGGTAGGCATATTCTTATGAGTCTAATGGAATTTATGTCAAAATAAAAAAAAATCTGAGAGATTTCTGGATATTTTTCAGTTCATGTTGAAAAGTCTTCAAACAGTAATGTCTTACTTCAATATTGATATGATCGTTTTGAAACAGCAGTACCAGAAAGCATAAGAAATACATAAACAGATGTTTTCCCCAGAAGTTAGGTCTAAAATGTATCCTAAAAATGTTTCTGTTCATCATTCCAAGTTGTTTATCCTTCATAATATAATAACATAGGTAATCTACTTGATTTTAGACTTCCTGTGTGCTGTTTCACTTTCACATTCTCTTACAAATTTTAAGAGGTGTAAATTGAAACATTTATTTAATAATTTTGTTTTCCTCATCTAAATATCATGTATTTAACATACACCTAGATTTAGCTGACTTTGGTCTTTTTAATCTAATATTTCTAGTAATCATAACCTGTAATATGCTCAAAAAGGTTGTCTTTACATCTTCATCCTATGTGTTACCAAATAAACAATTCTTTAGTAATCCAGTGTTAAAGAATGAAAGCACAGCATCATGTAAGAGAGTTTGTGTTGACTTTTTCTATAAATTAAGCCTTCAAGGGTGTGATTACTTAAGGATAAAGAAGTGTTTTAAGAATCTAGCAAACAATTCTTTCTCAGAATTCTTAAGTTAATGGTGGACTTCGCAGCAGATAAGTGCAAGACTGATTTTACCAACAGCATGTTCAATAATTAGTGAAAAAGTATGTTACTATTTTCCATATGCGTGGGGGGATTTTCTGCTACTATGTTTCATATGTTCTTATTTCTCAAGACTGCTTTAGGACTAGTAAAATTTTTAAAGAACATATCCTTGCAATACTATTTGAAGGGTCTTCTAACTGCCAAAAAATAGGTGCTTTAAACTGAAAATGATTGTGTTTGGCTCATAAGAAGAATCAGGAGGAGCACCTTCTGGGGGGAAACTAAATGGGAAATAAAGAAGAAATGAGAGCAAACTAGGGGGTCAGTGAGAGAAGGGAGATGAACAGAGGAAACAAGGAGCAAGCCTTTCCCACTTTGCCATTAGATTAGCTCAGGTGGGCATGAAAAAAGCAGCTGAGGATGGCAATCTGAGTAGTAGGAGCAGTCGTGTCCTGTGGCTCTTACCCTCCTTGCTGCCCTGCTAACTGTCTTTGCCAACTCGGCTGACTTAACCAGACAAAGATTTTTTCCAGGTAAGTGATGCAAATTGCTGTGGAGCAAGAAAGTTTCTTAATACTAAGGCTCAGGGAAGGAGGAAGCAAAATGGTGTTACAGGTGTGTAAGACTTCTGCTTTTGTGAAGCTGCAGTCTTAATATGTTGTTTTCTGTGTCTGCAGTCAAGTAAAAACAGTATTAGCTCTATTGATGCTTTGAAGTTGTGTGTTACCAGGTTTGGTTCCTTATGAAAATTATGTTATTTTTCTGATTATTTGAATATATTTTCCTCCTTGCTATTGCATTTGAATTCATTCTATGATATACTCATGAGGATCCCAGTGTCTTTTTCATCTCCACAGAAATAATTTGAAGCTATCTTCACTACAAAAGTGACCACAGGAGGTGGAACCGTGTACATTTCTCAGCATGCATTTTCTGTTCCTTTTCCTGTATAGATTTCATATGGATGATTAGGTGAATCTGGAAGGGGGGGGGAGTGAATTTGTTGTTGTTGTTTCTTTGTTTGAGTTTTTTATGTGTTATTTGTTTATTTAAGAAAAAAGTGGTGGTAAATGAGGAAATTCTTATATCTTAAAAAAATTATTTCTTGGGTGGAGGTCAATAAAAACCTTGGTGACAGGAAATATATTTGGCGGGTTTGAAGGACTGGTGTGTTTCTTTTGAGAATCTGTGCTGCCACATCCTATACTAGTTAGCTTTCTTTAGGCTGATTACTTCATGCCTGCGTAATGTGATGATTGTGTGTGTTACTAAAGCCAAATCATTTTCTGTCAGACTGGGCCTGGAGCCTCCTAACCACCTGGAGGTAGCAGAAAACATTGCTTGTGTGTTCAGTTATGTGACAGTTCAGCAGGCACGATATGTAAAAATAAATCTGTGATGATGGTCCACCTCTTTAAAGTGTTTCCATCCAACTGCTCTGGTTTGGCATCAGCCAGCATATTCCATGAGCTGAATTTGGTCAAACACTGGCTGTTATTTGACAGTAGTACTAATGAGGAGCAAGTAGAAATGAGAGCCATTGACATGTTGTTGGAACTCTTATTTTAAATATTTTCACCAACTCTCATAGTAGCTGCAACTTAGACTCTTAAACTAAGAGGCTAGGAGTGAGGAAGAGGGAGGAGGAAATAGATGTCTGTCTTGATGTATTTATATTTTACCCCTGTTGTAGCTAAGGCATTATATCTAAGAGTTAATCTTTTCATCCAGACTTCTGCATTGCAACTTAATGAGCTGCCTGGCTATGCCACGTTGGCTGGCATGTATTAATTTACAGGTAGGAAGGACAAAAATCTAGGGCAACTTTCATGGTGGAAAAGGGAGGTTTTATATATGTGTGATGTTTTAAATTAATAACTTGTTTTCTTTTCTATGTGGGCATGTGGTACATTAGAAATATAACCAGCTTTGGAAGATATACAGAATTTTGTGCTGCAGGGTGTAATTCAACCCTTAACTAATTAAGGTAGAAATGAGCTTTATTGTGGTCAAATAGCTTATTTACTCCACCAGAGTATCTAAACTTGGTAGATGCAGCTGTTCCAAAAACTTTTGGAGACAGTATTCTATACCAAATGGACTGCTACTCTGATCTTTGATGCAATTCTGGTATTTCTTGTGGCATAGAATTT